ACCGGTTGAAGACCAACCAGCGCCTGGAGACACGCCCCTGGGTAAAAGTCCGCGGAAAAAAAAGTTCAACCCGAGTTCGAACCCAGGCAACCCAGGCTTGAACCTGGTTTGAATCCGGGTTAAACCCAACCCAGGAACCTTGACGCCAGGGTTGTTGTTGTTGTTCCCCCACCCCCCGCGGCGAGGGGGGAGAGGGTTGTTCGAACCCAGGTTGAACCCAACCTGTGGCGGACCAGCCTCGAAGAGTGCTCCTTTTTTGTCAGCTTTCTTCCTGTTTGAGCTAAGAGAGTTTTTTCCGAAACTTCTCCAACCAAGGTGGCGCACAAGTTGGTGGCCCACCAAACCCTCAGCTTGCAAGCTGAGTAGTTCGCTTTTTCTGCTTTTCGCTTGCCGTTTCTGGGACGGCCACAGTTGGAATGCGAGTGTTGATTCTTGGCAAGACCATTGCTCGAGCAGTTCTGGACGCATGCACGTACTTATGTACACACAAACACACACACACGCACACACACACGCATGTGTGTGTGGGGGGTAAGAGAATTATTTGTTGAACTGCTGAGACAGTTCCTCCATTGCCGGCCGGCAGCGCCACTAACACTTCCCCATGCAGCAGCTCCGAACGAATCTGCCGCGCCCTTAGAACGCCAAGCCATCCAGTGGGAGATGGCAAGCGCAAGGCTTCCAAGTTGTTTCCTACCCTGGAAGTTCAAAGGTTCCGGGTCGAAGGCCTGCTTCAGGATTTGTGCTGAGCTTCTTCTGTCATTGCTCTGTAAACCTGCAGACCCTTTGCTTTTGCTGTCACTGTGGTCCTCGGAGTGCTCCGTTTTATCGTTATACTGCCGCAGTGTCGTCGTCGCCTTGCTAGTGTGGCATCATGCTGCGTACATCGTCTGTTACGATCACATCACTTTTCGAAAACCGTAAGTTCCAACCCACACCATAGGAAATCTTCTAAACAGCTCTGTAACACTTAAACCGAACCACAAGCCCAAAGACTGTTTGTGCCTTCCAAGCAGTAGACTGCATCCGAAAGCCACAGGAATCCGCCAGCTTTGATCAGGGCCTTGGGCTCCAGCTTCCCAGGGCCTTCGAACGCTCACGCTCACGGGCGCAGGCTCGTGGGAGCGCAGAGGGCCTCATGGATGCGGCTGCAGTGCGGAAGCTTTTCAAGTGTGCTGCAGGCCGGGGGTGTGCGGGGTGGGGCTTTTGGGCAATGGGTGCAGAGTCCATCATACTGTCTTCGGGTTCAGGCTTTGGGGCCCGCCAGGCGTGCTCAACAGCGCGTTTGGAGCCGACGAGGCGAAGAAGTGCGAGGTAGAGGTGAAGGAAATCCTCGGTGATCAGTTTGTCGAGTGCTCCTTCGAGTCCGTTTGTGTGGCCTTAGCTAAAGCCATTGAGAAGGGCCTGGTGCCGGAGCCGGGCTTGCAAACTTTGCGGAACCTGGAGCCTCATTTCGAGAAGCACGGCTTGAGTTCCAGCTCCCCACTTTCCGCTGCCTTGGGGTTGCAAGCAACTCTGAAGATCAACGTGGTCTCTATGGCTGGGGAGAAGACGGCACACGAGGTGGAGTCGCGGGGCCGAATCCTCGACTTGAAGTGCAAGCTCGGCGTTCCCTTCGGGACGAAGGCCAACCTTTCCTTCAAGGACACGGTACTTGGGGACTCACAGACTTTTGCAGATGCCGGTGTGGAAGAAGGCTCCGACCTACTCTTGGTTCAAGAGAAGATGTCCTGGGGGGAGGACCAGAAAAGTGCGATGAAGGACCTGATCAACTTCCTGGAGGACTGGGAGAAGGTCTAAACCAACCTAAACCCTGGACCCTCGACCCTAAAAGTCGAAGCGGCTTTAAACACAAAACCCTTCTTGGAGGACGACGAGGAAGTCGAAGCCGTCGTCTTCGGTGATTGGGGCTGGGGAAACTACGAGGAGGTTGAGGAAGACTTCCGAATTCCCGAAAACCGACGCGGGCAGGTGCTCACGCCCTATGAGGCCGGCCTCGTATCAGAGGAGTCATGCATCCTAAGAGATAAAGGGGCTCTTATTTGGAGTCATGTTCTGTCTTCTTTTATTTACAAGTATAATACTAGCTGATGGCTTGCCTGCTGTAGTCAAGCCAGTCGCAATGTGAAGATGAGGCCGGATCCTACATGGAGGGATGGTCCTTCTTGGGGGGCCACGGTTCCCCTGAGTGTTACGCGGCCTACATCTACACCAACCAGAGGGTGATCTTCGTGTGCCAGTATGACGGCTTGACGAGCTTGGAGGGGATTCCCGCGCGCCCCATTGCCTGCATGCCGACCATGCCGGGAGGGTGAGCCGTCTGAGTCGGAGCAAGGCGTACTGGAAGACTGGTATGGAAAGGTTATGATAAGGGTTAATTAGCCGGTTGGCAAAAAGGCTACTGTAAAGGATTGCTATGGATGGTACCATTAGGATTGAGCACTTTGAGTCGAAGCAGCGCCGTGATCTGATACCAGGCTTGGCAAGGATGGACCTTGTACAAATAATGATTGCGATAGTCATGAAGACCAAGGCAGGGGCAATGATGTTGTTGATGATATGGTACTGTTGTACAATGATGTTGATACTGGCCAGTCTTGTGGCATCTACAAGGGTACCACCCGTGCGAATAGTAAAGATGATCGCAAGTCTGGTTTGGATGTTGTGAGAGATCGAGCATGACACACATAACCATTCTGGTAGTCGTAATCAGACGAAAGCTGACTTGAGAGCAGTTATAGCTCACAGAAAGGCAGGACAGCCATAGCTATAATCACAGCCGTAACCGACATGACTTGATACGGGAAGCATCGGGAAGTCATGGAGTTTGTCATCGTTGCTGCCATGCCCAACAAAATCTTCGCCGACTCTGTACGCAAGCACTTGGGTGGCGTCAGAAGGACGACTTAAATCGTATCGACTGTGTAACAGGTACTCGACACTGGTATCCTCTTTGATGGCACCCAGGGTTTGCCAGGGAAGGAGAGTTTCACAGGAGCATCCTTGCCGAGTAATCCCAGTACTCCCTGTACATTGTTTTGTGATTTTTGCAGGTCTTTACCAGATAATGCGAAGGCCGAAACATTGATAGGAGCCTCACAGACGAAACAAACATGATGTCCATGTTCGCAGCTGCGCTACACGTCGCGCTGCTTGCTCAGGGTATCATGGGTTGCCTTAGTTCCGCCCTGCTTAGTGAAGTCCTTGATCCTGGTCAAGTACATCACTGAAGGGAGCTTGCCGAAGGGGTTGAGCCCGAAAACCCACAACTCCAAACTCCTTCCTTGGGCTATTTTCTGCGCAAAGTCAAAGCTTTGTCGGATTGAGTTTTGGAGAACCCTAAACCCTAAACCCTAAACCAAGTCGGGGCTAAGGGTAGGGTTTAGTTTTGGCTTTTCGGTCTGAAAGTGCCGGCTTGAAACCAACACACCCTAAGCCCCTTCATCCTGAAGCCCATAAGCCTTAAACCCCTGAAGCCTGAACCTTCGGCTCGACCCTAAAACCCTAAACCCCCAAAG